ACCTAGGCGTTTCCAATGATTATGAACGGTCGAACTCGATAAATTTACTCTCAGTGATCTCCCGAGTTGTTATTCGCCAGGTTGCATCAAGTTTACAAATTAATTAATAAAGTAATGCAATTGTGTAGTTAGTAAATTAATGCGATTAACCAATTAATAAATAATAATAATAAACTAATTAGTTAATGTCGGATCTGAATATTGCAACGCAGTTTTGGCGCCAGCGGTTTGTCAGTACATCTTCGCCATACATTTCTGATGATTTTATCTTGCCTGAACAGCATTTCTACTTGATAGTAAAAAAGGAAAACATGCCGAAAATGATGCTTTTCACTCTGCATATTTGAAAGGGCGTCAAAAAATACTGCGTGAAATCAATTGAACTTTTTCCCAAACAAGTCTTGCTACATCAGGTGTAAATTATAAAAAATGCAGCTTAAATGTGAAGTTGGCTGTGAAAAATATACAATCAAATCTTATGTTGAGGAAAAAACAAAATTACTTCCGAACAACCAGATAGATAGACAAATTCGCTAAGTGGTTAGCTGAGGAGGGGGTAGGAAGGCATGAAGGAGTTCCTTGAGAAAGTTGACCGCGCTGGCACGTGCTGCTTACATTCATACTACACGTTAGATAGAGGTGAAAAATACCCCAACTATTGCGCCGAAACCACACAATGAAGTAATATAAACGAAAAAAGAATAGACAGGTGCAAGGCAGAAAAAGTAATATTTTATACTCCATTTTATTGTTATGTATCGGCACCGAGGTCGTGGTTAAAGTGGATGTTCTGGGACAAAGAAACTGACGACACGAACGCCACTGAAGTCGGCTCCTAGTCATGTCAAAAGTGCATCCAACCAAACGTGTAGATGGACTTTAGGACCCTCAACCAGAGTGTCGGCCCGTAGCCTAGAGGTAACGAGCTTGTCTCGTTATCTTGCGGCGCGGGTTCGAACCCGCGTAGGGGTGAGCGTCCTCGTGGTATATGCGGCCCACGTGCGACTGGTAGTGGTCGCACAACAGCGAAGCGCCGTTACGGCGTACAGCTGACACATTACCATTAATATTATTTTCAACCAGGGAGCAGAGAGGCTCCACGGAGGCCAACTTCGAACCAAGGGTATTCATTCCTCTTGATAAGTCATCGCTTGGCCACCCCTCCTCTTCTTCCATGTACAGCCCTGGTGCGCAAACGATGCACATCGCGGATTCAGTGGGCTGGCATGCACAACACGTGGTCCAGCCATCGGAGCCTGGTGTGTGATATAACGGCCCACTCGCTCTTCCTGTGCTATAAACAAGGCGTCGAACACGCTCATCGCACACACGGTGTTCCCGCCATATGTGCGTTAACCTGCGAAGGCGGTGATAGTCAAAAGTTACAAGCTTCATCAAGTTTATCGATCTGATGGGTCAGTTCGCACAATCATACAGAAGGGTTGAACGCACGGTTGCATGCTAGACTCTACCCTTTCAGAGTGATATTGATATTGCACCGGAGCTACAAGTGGCGGAGTTGAGCAAAGGTACCCCGAACTACAGGGTTAGCTACGTCGTCTTCTGTTCCACAGAAGCTGTTACAGCTGTTCAGGTAGCTGAATTTCTGGACGATTACGTTCCGGCCAATCCTAGAGGTAAGCTACGTAGTTGAGGATGTAAAGCAAAGTCCGAAACGATTGACTGCAAGTGCTGATTTGTTCAGTGCTGCATGCCATGTTTGTGAGCTGCCACAAATGAAGCCAATGTCGTTGGCGTAATTCAAATCAAGGAGTCGATCGACTGGGAGAAGATCCATACTATCAAGTCGTGTCTAGTGAACGCAGTTTCCATGAGCTCGTAAATGGCGAAGCCAAAAATGAAATATAAGAGCGGGCACCCCCTGTCTCGCAACACTGAAGCTATTGAAGAGCAGTGACATCTTGTCCTAAGCCCTCACTCTGCCCGAACTATGCGCATACAGCGCTCTGATAATGTTTACGTATTTTTCGGACACGTAGATCCACCGAAACCAAGACATTATTGACGTCAAGGAACATGAAAACGGTAGGTCGGCAAGATAAGTGGCAAAAGGTAAAGATATCATCAATGCAACTTCAGTTTCGACGTAACCCGCTCAAATCTGCACGAAGCTGGGTTTCACAGGAACTAGCTAATCAATGGAAAACGAAATAGGCAAGCAAGTTAGAGGCGACGGATAGATAATTGATATCACTACAATTGCTGCATTCCGAATGTTAACCTCTCTCGAAAAGCGGGAGTATAACGGGGCAACGCCAGAACGTTGGGACAGCTTCTTGCCCTGACAATTTCATTAATAAATCGCACAAATCGTCCACAAGATCTGGTACCGAGTTTGAGGATGGTTGGAAGATTTCCCACCTAGTCCTGCGGTCTGATTAAACTCACGTTTGACGGTTGCGCAGAATGGCGGGTCCAGACGATCACTGGCCGGTAGTGAAGCTAGTAGTTCCGGCCGATTAAAATGCATTTCAGTGTTCAGCATAACGCTTCGAGAAGTTTGACAAGCTGTGGATTGGCCGTCCACTCTCGTCGCGTATAATGCCTCCTGTTGCCCGTCTCCTGTATCGGGTGGAATAACTTTCAATGGTTAACAAGGGCAGTGGCTGTTTCGATTTCCAAAGAAAGATGAAAAAACCAGGTTTCCCGATCTCTTTTCAGACTAGCATGTAATTCTGATCGCAGGTCTTTGCGAGTCTCTTTGTGTGCGCTTCCAGCCAGAATGTGACCCAGAGGTCCCATATACTGCGTAGAGAAGGCCTCAGCAGTACGCCAGTACGCAGTACCGACGCTTCGCTGCCGCGCAACCACCACCAGTCGCACGTGGGCTAAGGATACTGCGAGGGTCACCCTGCCCCTACGCAGGCTCGAACCCGCGCCGTAAGATTGCGAGACAAGCTCGTTACCTCTAGGCTACGGGCCGTAAAGATTTAATGTCTAGATTGGCAATCGGAATACCACATATCTGCTGCTAATAACACCTGATCAGTGGCTGTCAACCGCGTTCAGTGAACGCTTGATCATCTCGGGTGCCAGCATATTTGATATGCATTTAGAACACCCGGGGCTTGGCCAGTTAGTAAGCGTGTACGCCCCCACCGGGTGGTCGTGGGCATCCACCAAAACGTAAGCAGAGATCAGCGCGCACAAGCGCATGGTCCAAGTACACTCCAAATGGGGTCACAATTCTGGATGCAACCTCACCAATAGTGACTGATCGCGATGTGGTCCATTTGCGTTCATACCTGTTGGGCGTCATGACACTCCGACTGCAATGTCGGCAGTGCTCGAAGGAAAAAGATGAATATCTTTACACGGATATAACAACACCGGAAGCCTACACTCAGGTGAATCTCATTATTGAACGATTGTCCAACTTGAACGTTCTGAACACCACTACAGAATCCGCCCTTTCGATTATGAAGGAGCTAGTCCATTTGACGACATAAGCCATCTATCACCGAGTCAGCACTGCGATTTGGGGGGCGTAGTCAAGTATGACAGATAGGCACCGTTTCCCCCCGTGCAATTTCGAAGTTTTGGGTAGCACGGTGCACGTAAGGCTGTTGATTGGGATCCATACAATCAGAGCAGCTTCAGACCGCGGGACTCAAAGGAATGACAAGACACACCTGACCGGCACTTGAAGCTGCCATCACCAGAATATGCCACCAATGTCGCATGTGGGGGAACGTAGAGTGAGCAAAGAGCTGGAGCCCTGCAGGCAGGTTTCCGATAAACTGCAGATATCGATCGAGAGGGTCTCCACTATTCGGGCAAGTGCTGCCTGTTGGTCAATCTGCAACAAAGTGCGCACATTAAGGCACGTTAGTTTTGCGAGGATCGAGGACTCCAAATAAATACAGATAAACAGACGTTGTCCGTTTGGACGGATATGGAGTTGTCGACAGGGTAGGAGTGGTGTACCGCGTTTGTGTGTGAGTTGAAACTAGAAGATTGACGACCATCAAAGCTAAACGGGGGGGGGGGCAAAATTGTGGGGTTGGAAACGTGGAGAACAAAATTGAAGTTGGAAAGGGATGATAAAAGGAAGCACAGGAGAATAACAAGACGGCTTGAGCAGTGGCATCTTCACACATATCCACCCTGCTCGATGCAGTTGATAACCTTATGTGTAGGCGGTAACCTGCAATTTACCCAGGTCTAAAGAGAAGAAGGATTTGGGTTCTCAGCCAAAGACTTTGGTTGAAAAATTGACCGCAAGGCAGCAGGTTTGACAGTGGGTCACAAACAGTCTGTTTTAAGGAATAAGGTGCCACCTTCATCTCAAGCCCCAACCGGGATGATCAGGAGGCTATTTGTCTGGTATCTAACCATTGACCAATCTGGTATGAGTGACTCTGAAGAAACAAGAAGCACCACTCAGCACAGCTCCATGGATCGCCCAGGTACGCAGGCCATCGCACTAGGTTATGGTCCACAACCGTCGCGATGGAGGTGCAGTCTTCGTGGAAGACAGCTTATGGATCGCAAAGTGCAGTATTTGGAGACCACATCTAACATGTGTAATCCGCGTAGTCGAAGGTGACAATGCATCTCAAGCATCTTAAATTTGCCCAACATTCTCGCAAACTATTTTGTGTGTGTTTTAGTATGCACTTTTAATCAGTTCGTCACCATGATTATGTGCGATTGTAGCGATGTGATTAGTGGCTAATGTAATTATCCCACTTAACTGTTCCGATGATAATCGCTTAGCTGATAAACGGAAAATCGCAAAACCAGATGAAAATTATAGTAGAATACTGAGCTGCAGTTGAGGAAAAAAGCGCGGACCATACTGGTCCGATGTCGGCAGCACATTAAAAAATACCCCTATGAAGCGCATCGTGTCTCCGGTTCCGTAGGTGGGTGCACTTCGTCGAGAACCAGAGAGATCAAGGTGTCGCGAGTATGGAAAATACAACTTGAGAACAGGGGAATGTGAGAAAAAACGGTCGGTCCGTTAGCCAACTCACCGAGGCCAAGTTTTTCCAATCCAACAATTCGCTGAGCCGTTCCGTCCGGTTGCGCAAGACAATACGCTGACGCCGAGAATATTGACAAAATTCCAAGAGATACTATAAATGATTGAACGATGGGAGAAACGTTAGAGGGATGTGAGTTCGGAAGCGAAGAAGCAATCGGAACTGAGCCAACAGGGACACGTGAGCCATGTTGTTAGAGTCACAATTGTTTTCTGTTTAGGCTGATAGATGTGAAGAAGCAAACACATATAAACGGTGGGTGCAATTAGCGAACGACGAGACACGAATTCAAGTCAAATAGGCCTCGTCTCATCATTAATGGTTAACCTCTTCACACAATTCTGCAGGGATCGGTTTGGGTAACTGAGGTGCATACGATCACACGGTATCCGGCGTGGGTTTTTAACATTCAATGCAAATTAGCATACATCCTACGTGAGAATAACGATCGGTCATTTACACAGCCGAATGAAAAATCTTTGTTCAATCATGACGCATGGTGAAAGTGGTAGTGTAGGTGTTACATCGGTTATCTAGCAGCTTTACAACAGTCATCTCAACCCAACATACGACCGCATGAGTGATAAGCACCAAGTATTTTTGATGCTTATGGTTCCAACAATAATGCATACCAGCCTCTCTGGTAGAAGTGTGCTTCGTTGGCGGGTGACCAGAATTTATGGATAGTGTTCAGGTTTGGGTCTGTTCTCCGGGCTGAACAAGTTCGTTGCTGACATTCCATCAATAATCGAGATGATTTCGTTGGTTCAGCCCAACTGCGGTGAAGAAGTATCATGAATGAAACATCAGCCTCAGCATGGGGCACACATACATACATGGTTGGCGGATTCCGGTTTCGGACTTGCATATATATATATATATATATATATATATATATATATATATATATATATATATATATATATATATATATATATAGTCCAACAGTAAAATTGGTACTGTATCACAAAGTGTGGAGAAACGTAATACAACACTGGTGAAACAATAGAGAGCGTACAAAAGGAGTGAAAAACTGCAGCAATGGGGGCGGAGTCTCACAACACGTTCGCCAATTGCACACGGATTCATGACATGTCCGATAGGGTTTCCAGCCATGTGTGCATGCGATCCATGTGCGCCCCAACCGGGGAGTTGAGAGCGTACGACCGCGGTCAAAAGTGAGATCAGCGCCTTCATACTTTTGGCCCAAGTCAATCGCCAGCCATCTTGTCTACGCCTCCAGCTAACTTCTGTGCGCACAAAGAGTGCATGGTGACGCAAACACTCAGTAGGCATGCGAAGTCTGTTGGGAGTGTCAGATCAGAGTGGGCGGATGGACCAACCGAACGAGCCAGACAGCCAATGGGAGGCGGGCGTAACGGATTCGATTAATGGACTCGGATTGGTCAATAATCGTGTGAGTGATTCATTGTTTCATTGAAGCAACGGAGGAAACGCATCGACTCAGAAGGGTCGTTAGTTATGAACTTGAACGTACAACTTATATCGAGGAGTTTGGCTTGCCAAACATGCTGTAATTTTTGCCAATGTGACTTTGCTGAATAAACGTTTGTCCCTGAAAAACTGAGTTCAGCAACCTGGTGTCAGAGAAGACCAAGACGAACCCCACAGGCCACATTCAGATGCCGACTGGATCAACACCAGCTGTTCAAATGCCTACCCCGTTGAACATGGATGAACGGAACTTGGTAAATAATAGGCATCTATGGAGGAGCAAGTGGATGGATTTCTGGACCTTAGTAAGTCTAGAGAAGCATCCGATGGCATATCGCTTGGCCATGTTTCGACACGCAGCCAGGGAGGACGTGAACCGTGTTCTAGAGACATTGATCTACGACAAAGATGCCAATGATTTGGAGATGGTCATTGAAAAGTTCAGTGAATTCTGCAGAGGCCAAACCAACGAGACGTACCAGCGCTACCATTTCTTGATGCGAAGCAGAAGCCAAAATTAATCCGTCGACGCGCATGTCACTCAGCTGAAGATTTTGGCCCGGTCCTGCAATTTCTGTAAATGCATGGGCGACAGTCTCACACACAATCGGATTGTCCTCGGAATCAATAACGAAAGTACGCAAATTATGGCTCCAGCAGTGCGTCGACATTTGCAACAGTGAGCCCTCGACAACCTATAGATAACAACAAATGAACCTCGCAACTGACGCAGCATTGTGTGCTGTTTCCGGTGGCGAAACAACGAAAGCTGCCAACGTGAGAGAGGAGATCTTCAAATTTTGCGCTGCGCGACACCCGAGCACCCACGAACAGTGTCCAACGTGGGGACGGAAATGCGCTAAATGTGGAAAGAGGAACCACTTTGCTTGTTGCTGCCAAACAATCAATGTGATTTCGCTCGTTTGTGACAAGTCACCGGCAGAAGTAGAACATTTAATTAAAAACGCGTCTCTGAGGGTTTCACAAGTGTCTACGCAAGTCTTTTGATCAAAGGCAAAACCGTACGATTCCAATCTGACACAAGTGCTACCGTCAACATTCTAACAAAGAAGCACTGTTTCGGAGTGTGCATCCGATCCGAGTAAGATTGCCCGCGTATGTGGAATGGTTCCAGACGTCAGCCGAAGGGCTCGGCTTCAATCGAAGTGATTAACCCAAGAGACGGAGCCTCATATCGACTGGAGTTTGTGTTCGTTGAGGAGGATCTCACGCTGATTCTCGGCATTGATTCGTTCCAGCCCTTCCGCCTTGTTGTTTTCAATCATGATCGTTTCGTGCATGCTTGCCAGGGAGAAACTGATATTAGTGATCAGTTCCGTTTGTGTTCAGCTCGGGTTAGGGAAAGTTCGAGGAAACCGCTCACTTGTCCTTAGATCTTTTGATACGAGATCGACTGCGCTACGGCTAGGAGAGTTCCATTTGCGCTGCGTGACAGGTTCTCCGATGAATTGAGCAAATTAGTGAGAGGGTGTGATTGCTAAAGTCGACGATCTAACCGAGTGGGTTAGTCAGGTCGTAAACATTACAAAGAAGACGGGCGAACTGCGCAATGTGTTTCGACCCAAAACCGTTGAATGAAGTCTTGCATAGAGCGCACTATGCCCATTTTGCCGCGTTTGGTCAAAGCTAAATATTTCACGAAGGTAGACCTGTCTTCCGCATTCCTGCACGTAGTTTTAGAGGAAGAATAAAGTTTCCTTACAACCCTTGCCATACCGTTCGGGCGTTATCGTTCGCTACGTTTAGCGTTTGGTTTGAAGATTTCGAGTGAAATATTCCAAGAGCGATTGGCGCAAGCGGTAGACGATTTAGATGGTGTACCATTCGAGGAAGACGATGTTGTGATATATGGCCCGACAGAAAAATAACATGACGCTAATCTCCACCGTTTCTCGCAGCGTCATGTGTAAAAGGATATCAAACTTAAAAACGGGAGAACAGTGAACTTCGGAAAGACCAGGTGATTTTCCATGGGCATTTGTCAACAACCCAAGGGATCAGGGTCGATTGGAAAAAGTAAAGTCATTCGAGAGATCCCGTCCCCCCCTTAAAGAGGTGAAAGGAATCCATCGCTCAAACAGTAATGTGAATTACTTGAGCTGATTTATGCCAAGACTTGTTGATATCATGACACCGATCAGGAAGTTGATTCACAAGGGAGTAAAGTGAAGTTGGGGAAATGAACTGGAAACCGTATTCGCAGTTATTAAACACCTCTTCAGCAACGCGCCCGTAATCGGGTATTACGATCAAGCGCAGTCCTTGGAGGTACAATGTGACAGTAGCCAAGATGGAATAGGTGTTGTTCTCTTGCTGAAGCTGCTCTGGTTGACTGGATTCCAATCAGTAGCCGTTGGTGTGCGGTTCGATTGGCTGGCTCGTTCAAAGCTTCGAAGTCGCACGGGACTAACAGGTGTCCATTCGTCATCGCTGCCTATGCACCCACAAACGCTAGTGATGATTCGGTAAAAGACGACTTCTATCGCCAAGTGAACGAGCTCCGTAGCCACAGAAGAAGCACGGACACAGTTGTGCTGACTCACGACCTGAACGCTCAAGTTGGAAAATTATCCACAGATGAGCTGCATCCAGGCGGCCAACATGTTATAGGCTCCCGTAATGATAACGGTGAGCGGTTACTTCATTTGTGTGAGGATGCTCGCTTATTTCTTGCGAGCACTAATTTCCGACACAGCACCCGCCGGAGGGTGACTTGGCGCCCACCAGCTTCGAACCAGCTATGGACGCAAATCGATCACATTGCGATAAGTTTCCGATGGAGACGCTACGTCTAGAACTGTCGCTCGATTTGGAACACATGTGTGGAGACCGACTATGCACTTGTGTGTGTTGACCTGTGAATGCATTTTGGCGGACGCCCAAGACGACGTTGTAAGCGCATTGACAACAGCCAATTGGCGAAACCAACTGTCCTGAATGCCTATAAAAGCACGCTGTCATGCGATTTGAGTAAGCGATCACTGTATGCTGTTGAAGCTCACTGGTCTCGTATTCACCAGCCCTTCCTAGGAGAAGAAAAATCCTCATGTGGTAAGTCTAATTGCCAACATGGACACTGGGTCTCTTCGCAGTCTCTGGAACGTATTGATGCTCGCCGGCACATTCCGGCTGGAAGCGAACACAATGAGACTCGCGGAAAACTCCAGGCAAAACTGCGTGAAGTGAGACCGTGAATTCTGGTGGTCTCATCGTGCATCAGAGATGGAAATGGTCGCTGCCCTTGCTAACCATCGTAAGTTATTCCGTCTGATAAGGGAAGCGGGCAGCAGAATACCTGGTGTTAATGAAACTATACGTGACGAGAGTGGACAGCCTATTCACAACTTGTCAAAACGCTTGCAGCGTTGGGCTGAGCACTTTGAAAGGCAATTTAATCGGTCGGAATGGTTAGATTTCGTCCCAGCCACTGATCGTCCCGCTCCCTGGGCTGTCCCTTTGGATCCGCCCTCTCGCTCAGAAGTCGAAAGTGAGATCCCACTATTGAAGTTAAATAAAGCCGCAGCACTAGATGATCTACCTCCAGCCCACTTCAAATTCGGGGGGCCTGCTCTGGTGGATGATATATACGAGTTACTAGTGAAACTGCGGGAGCAGGAAACCGTCCCAACAGACTGGAGCCGCTCCGCCATAGTCCCAATTTTCAAGGGAGGTTCACGATCGGAATACGGCAACCATAGAAGAATCAGTCTGATTTCGATTGCCTCTAAATTGCTTGCTTCTGTCATCCTTCACAGAATGACTGGTACACGTGAAAGCCAGATTCGTGAAGAGCAAGCCGGGTTTCGTCGAGGTCGTTGCTGCATGGACTACATCTTCACCTTGCGTCAGTTGTTGGAGCATCGTCACATATATTGCCGGACCACCGTTGTCGTGTTCCTTGATATCAAAGGTGCATTCGATTCGGTGGATAGACGTGCACTTGGGGACTGTCTACTCAGGAAAGGTGTACCTGAGAAATATGTGAATATTATCCGAGCATTATATGCGCGTAGCTCGGGCAGAGTGAGGGCTTACGGCAAGTTGTCGTCGCCCTTTAATATCTTCAGTGGTGAGAGACAAGGATGCCCGATATCACCTTTCTTCTTCAACTTCGCTATTGACGAAGTCATGGAAATCGCTTTCACAGGACATGACTTATACTGTGTGGATCTGCTCCCAGGAGAACGACTTCTTGACTTGGAGTATGTGACAGCTCCCAGACGTGCCAAGCGGCACTGGACAGCTCAGCAATGGCTGTCCATCAATTCGGGTTTGATTCGCACCATCGAAGTGCAAAGCGTTCCTCCAAGATTGGCTTGGACCGCCTCTTTCGTTGACCGTTGGTGGGGATCAGCTAGAAGTCGTTCAAAAATTCATCTACCTGGGAAGTTGTATCAGGGACCTTGGGAATGAAGATGAGATCACGAACCGTATAGCAAAAGCTCGAAGTGCTTTTGCTAACCTTCGCCGCTTATGGTGCCGGCGCAACATCACTTGCCCTGAAGGGTAGAGTGTACAATGCAGCGGTACGTTCGACCCTACTGTACGGTTGTGAAACCTGGCCCCTTAGATCAGTGGACATAAAGAGGCTAGTTGCGTTCGACCATCGGTGCCTTCGCAGTTAGGCTCACATCTGGTGGGAACACCGCATGAGTAACGAGCGTGTTCGACGCCTTGTTTACGACACAGGAAAAGGAAATGAACCGCTCACCACCGTTATTTCACACACCAGGCTCCGATGGCTCGGCCACGTGTTACGCATGCCAGCCCACCGACTCCCGCGACGTGCGTTGTTTGCGCGCCGGGGATGTGAATGGAAGAAGAGAGGTGGCCAAGCGATGACTTGGTCGAGAGGAATAAAGGCCTTCACTTCGGAGCTGGTCTCAGTTGGGGCGTCTCGGCTCCCTGGTAGTCCGAAAGACGATGAACAAGTTTGGTTGGATACACTTGTTGATATGGCTAGGAGCCGACCTCAGTGGCGTTCGTGCTGTGAGTTTCTTTGTCCCACCCCATCTCTTTTAGCCTCCCCCTCCAACCACAGTCTCATTATTTAACCTTATATAAATTGCATAATATTTTTTGCTGCATGATAGCCGGCAGATAGCTTACCGGAACGATGCCCATCCGTTACTGGTAGCTCAGCTGGCTTGCACCAGTTGCATTTTATTCCCTTTTTTCTTTTAGGTATTGCGGCACAGTAGCTGAGGTGTTTCCCACCTTTAGCTAACGTGTAGTGTGTCTTGCAGAATTGAAAACCTTTGAATTTCCGCAGTCGAGCACTCACCGTGATCAAGCAGCGCTATGCGCAGATTGAAAAGGAGATGCTCGCGATAGTCTATGTCATGGAGCGTTACAACGATTATGCTTTCGGAAGAAAGACAACTGTGTATGCGGAACACAAACCGCGTGTGTCAATAGCCAGGAAACCGGTGCACATCGTTCACGGTCGCTTTCAGCGTACGCTCATCCGGCATCAAATGTACGACGCGGATATCGTGTGCGCACCTGGTGCACAGATGTTCTTCGCGAACACGCTGTCAAGAGCTCATCCACTGATATCTGAACATAATCCAGAAGAGATCAAACCAGCAAACCTATTATAACATCTAGCGGTGACGGAACAACGTCCGAATGAAATAAAGCGCCACACAGAGGAAGATGCAGAGTTTTCAGCTTCGTGAGACGTTATTCTAACTGGGTGGCCAAAAACAAAGCAGCAGCTGCTGCCGAAGAAACTACCACCCTATTTTAATTTTCGGGATGAACTCTCTGTTTATAATGGTTTGCTGTATAAAGGAAGCTGTATTCTGGTTCCGTCATCGCTCCGAGGAGAAACGCTGAAATAGGTTCATCGGGCTCACCTGAGTGCCAACTATATCATTATTCGAGCAAGAGAATTTATCTGTTGGTACGGAATGACGGGTCAAATAAGAGATAATGTATCACACAAATTCCGGAAGACGAGGGAACCAATGATGGTACATGATGTATCTGATCGACCTTGGCAGAAGGTGGCGGTGGATTTATTTAGTGATAATGGGAAAACTAACTCACTCAAAAGTGAATTACTATAGTGATTATATTTAAATCGATCTACTCGCCACTACGACCACAGAGGCAGTAATCAATAAACTCAGATGTCAGTTCGCGTGGCCCGGTATACTGGAGAAGCTGGTCTCCGACAGTGCTCCCCAGTTTATCAGCGGTGCGTACCAGGCTTTAGCAACCAAGGAGGAATTCATGCATCCGCAAATTGGTCTATTTCATAGTCAATCGAATGGAAAGACGGTCGGCAGTGAAGCAGGCCAAGCGACTGTTATCAAAGGCTAGAGAAACTGGCGAGGACCCGTACCTCATGCTAGTGGAGAATCGCAACACTCATCCAAGAAATAGCGGTTTGAGCGCAGCCTTCATCATTGCACACGTTAGCTGTAGATGGAAGAAACCTCATCTATTGTGTCGTAATACAAGAAAAGAAAAGATAGTGCAACTGAGGCACGACGGTTAAGTCACCAGTAACGGATGAACATCGTTCCGGAGAGCTGACAACCGGCTATTGTGCCGCAAAAGAAGTTATCTTATGTCTAATAACTGAGATTGTGGTTAGAGGCTAAGTTGGATGGAGAGGGACAAAGAAATTCATAACACAAGCGCCATTGAGGTCGGTTCCTAGCCATGTAAACAAGTGTATCCAGCCAAACGTGTTCATCCTCTTTCGGACCCCTATTTGGGAGACTAGAGGCTCCAAGCGAGGCCAACTTCGAAGTAAGGGACTTCTTTCCTCTTGACCAAGTCATCGCTTGGCCACCTCTCCTCTTCTTCCATCCACACCGCCGGCGTGCAAATAACGCACGTCACGGGAGTCGGTGGGCTGGCATGCGCAACACGTGGCCCAACCTATCGGAGCCTGGTGCGCAAAAAAACGGCGCTGAGCGGTTGGCTTCTTCTTCTTCTTGCGCTGCAAACAAGGCGTTGAACATGTTCAGTGTGCACACAGTTTTCCCACCATATATGAGCCAAAATGCGAAGGCACCGGTGGTCGAACGTGACTAGTCTCTTTATGTCGGCTAATCGAATGGGCCAGGTTTCACAACCGTACAGTAGAGTCGAACGTACTGCTGCATTGTACACTCTAAACTTCAAGGCGAAAGTGATGTAGCGCCGGCGCCATAGGTGGCGAAGGTTAGCAAAAGCGCTGTGCATGTTGAAGGAGTGTGAGCCGGCTCCGTTGATGCAACGCGGCTCCCATCCACATGCCTCCCAGTTTTACTCCTTCGGGTTTATACTGGAAATATGGTGCAGCGCAAGCCACCCATGGCCCCTCGGTAGGCGAAGGCTCCTGTGGCTGTCCTATGGAAACCGTAGTAACAGCCAAATTGGGAATCGGATGCCGCAAATCGTAGGTGAATATGAAGACTGGGTAAAAGAATTATTGGTGGGAAGCGAGATAAGGGAACAGTGAGTAAAACGAGGATGCCGAGCCAGATGAAATACAATTCCAGCGGTGGTGGATGATCGCTTACCTTTGTCAGTTGCTGTATGCTGTCCTCACAGTTTTTGAAGCGCCGGTCGACCACGTAAATTCCATATGATTTCGGATCCTCGACGTGTTCTTCCATGAAGCAGCCAAATCCGGAAAGATTAGTGGTCACCGACGGGATGCCCATCACCGTGCATTCGGCTTGAGTGGGTGCGCGAAACAGATGCAAATATGAGGAAGCATCGTAGATACATGGGTAGGAAATATGGAATTTAAATATCCATATTTGTTCACCAAACTAAACACAAGTGTGTCATCATAATCATGTGGGAATAGAAGGAAAGAAAATGATAGCATCAAAGTTACTGGTTCTATTACAAAGTTTTAAGGACACTGTTTTCTCTTTGTGCTGATTTTATGTTCATATTGAACATCCAATAAGAAAGAAACATCAGAACAGCGCTACTAAGCATTGTGAGCCATAACATACAAAACCATATTGGATGCTAGACACATGGGGCACAAAGCCACGTGGAATGGTGCTAGCGAAAGATTCGAGGTGCAATTCAGTAACAAACTAAAGCAGCGGTTGAAAAGATGGGGATATTTCGGCAATTCTCAGGTGAATATTGAAGTAAAAAGACAAAAACTAGAGGTTAACACTTGGTATTGTCCCTTCAGTGTCAACACAATAACAAGAAGCTATATAAGCCGACAAGTAGGGTGACACCGGAACAAGTTTAGAAAAGCGTGGAGGGTAGGCGTGATATTCCTACACCCCAGACAAGCGTGGGCTTACGAACAGCTGTTTCTGCACACAGAGAACGGGTTTGATACGGCTGATCGCGACTGCCGCTGCGAAACATAGGAAACGGGCGTAAACATGTCTTAAAACGATTGTAAACACTGTGGCCGGAACAAAGGGATGACAGGTGGCCGGTAGATGCCTACCTATGGATGAAGCAAGTGGCCTTCGTTAACAGGTAATATGAACAACCTACGACTGGGTGATTAGACGCTGCGACAATTTAGGTAACGTTCCCTTATTCTAGAGTTTAACGCTCTGTTGGTAGGGTCGACGTAGCGTGTGCCAAAACTACAGGTACCGTATAGTACCGAATATAAACCGATGCTTTTTGGACAATTTTATGTTCCGGGAGAGGGGGATTCAGCTTATAAAAAGACTACGCGGTAGTTGAAAAAGTCACGAGCAAAATCCATCCAGGAATTCACTGCCCAGCACTGCACATATATCCGCTTAGCACCAGCCGCTAATTAAGGACGGTATTCCAGACAAGGATTTGAAGCGCCTATAACTGGACACGTTACTTTTGCGTCGTAATTTTTCGGTATATTGCACAGTGGACGTTCGCGACTGATAGCAGGAGCGAAGCAAAAGCGCTTAAACACTATGTTAAGCCAGGCGATCCGGTGGCTTAAAAGTACATCGTCGTCCCAAACACCTGACTGTGAACTTCGCCCTCACCCATTTCTCTACTGTGGTTCATATGCACGAGGCTCCCGACTATGCGAGGCGGTCAGTCTCACCTTACCCCATATCGTTGGTTGCCTGACCTGTTTCTTGTTATTGACGTCCGGTAAATACACTGCGAGGCGTGGTGAAAGTCTGTACTGACGGCCCTACGCTCCATTATCCGCGATTATAACACATTACGGCCACCACAACTGACCAATAGTAGAGCAGGTTTCAACAGAACCCACTCAAGTGAGAACAGGTAGTGATGACGTCAAAAGCGTGGAGAAACAATTTCGTTTTTATTTTCGTCCCAGCTACTCACAGTCTAGTCCGGAAGAGCACCAGACACGTTTCGCCTTACTGGCGCTCGTCAGCGGCGCGCAGTCCCTCAGTCCCCTACAGGAGATCGAACCCATGACCACCAGAGACAGATGCCAACTAGCCAACAGTTTAAGCCACTGAGCCATGGGGGACATAGGTTGGGCTACCTAATTTGCAACCTAACTGACACGCAGGTTACTACCTTAGCAGATGACAGTGGTTAGCCTCCGAAGGTCATGATTTCCTCTCACTAGACGCTAGATACATAGCATTTGAAATTTAGGAGAGGCCACATTTTATAGTACTAATGAGTAGGAGGATTTTAATTGTAATGTTTCCGTCCCGGCTGCTCACAAGCTACATAGCACAGCCTAGTCCGAAAACGGAAAAGCACCAGACGCGTTTTGCCCTACTGGCGCTCGTCAGTGGCGCGCAGTCCCTTGGTCCGCTACAGGGGATCGAAGCCATTACCGCCAGAGGCAGATGCCAACTAGCCAACAGCTTAAGCCACTGATCCATGGGGGACATAGGCTGAGCTACCTAATTTGCAACCTAACTGGGATATAGCACGACCTATCTTCCACTGCCACGCAGGTTACTACCTTAGCAGATGACAGTGGCTAGCCTCCGAAGGTCATGATTTCCTCTCACTAGACGCTACGTCCATAGCATTTGAAACTACATTAAAATTAAAAAATCCTCCTACTCATTAGTAATATCAGGTTTTATTTTATTATGCATCAAGAATGACAGAACAAAGGGCCCTTGGTTATGCTGTCTTTTAGTATCACCGGTCAAAAGGGGTAAGTCACGGTTCAAGGGGCCAAACCTGGTCTCTGGAAGACGGAAACGCACACGATAGTGAAGGATGAGTGTAGTACACTATGGTGGTTACTTAGACGCACTCCATTGGAGTGAAGGGTTGCAGGTTCCCGTCCCTTCACTGATCCGATGAAATACGCACCACTGAGGAGGATAGAAAGACCGATCCGTGCTTTTTTGGATGTGCAGTAGGAATGAAGAATCTTTGTTTGCAATTTAATCCGGACACACCCACCTCCTCACTGCTCTTCAACACTGATGACCCATCAAGGACTCCATACCGATTCATTGGACGTTTTTCAGAAAGGTGATGAGTGAACGATGAGTGCTCATTTCCGTCAAGTTTGTGAAGCAGCAATCGCAAATTATTAGGAGTCATCCAGAGGGCATACCTTCACAAAGTTTGAATGATGACAGTATTAGTATCCCAGCGTTGTAAACACTACCTAGAATGAGACACCGTCCAAAACTTGCAATCAACTACATGCGTGTTGCCATCTGAACTCTATGTTGTAGTAGAAGTTTTCGAAAGTGTTCGCTATGAAAAATCGATGAACTTATAGTTCTCAACGTTGTCATTTGTTAACTCCTTCAAATGCTGCGTAATATTGGTTAAAAAGAAGTCCGTAACCCGAATACCAAATAAAGATCAGGTGTACGTGTGCAAGACAAAAAACGAAAACTGCTTTTGCAAGAAGTGAAAAAATTAAATATCTTCAGTGACGCTCAGATGCCGCTGTCCAACTCGGGACGAAGTAGCGCAACTTCATCATACAAATGATAATGTGTATTTGACGGAACAAAAGTGGGCATACTACAGTCTCGCTCCCAAGGGTACGCAGATTGTGATCCTCTGCAGTTCCCGGAGGTTTCCGATGTAATTCGCGTCACCAATGGCACACAGCCATATACGGAGGGATGATAGCATTATGTATGTATGTACGTATTCTCAACAGTCTATTAACTAGACACAGAGTCAGTACAAAACCATGGAGATCAACAGATAAGCAAGAGTCATCGATTCATAATCATCGTGACATGCTAGTTGAAGGTGAGCAACACACTTCAACTAATATGCCGCAGGAAGAATGGAACATTTCGATAAAAAGTAGGACAAAACATTTTTAGTTGGTTTTTCACACGCCGCTTTTGTTCTTTTTTTGTCATTTTAATGTTTGTAGTATTAAACATGCGAATCAACACAATGCTGTACACAATTCTTCCACTGATTCCGGTTGCGGGCCATATCTTCAAGAGTGCTAAGCCATTGGCACTCCTCATCTTTGGGTCCCCATCCTGGAAGACGTACGGATCCAACAGCGGCTAGACACGACGTCAGCGATTTCATGTGCTGCCGCCAAGTGGAAGGCTGACCACCACGCGGTTGCCTCCAGCCAGGTCCTTGACATTAGTTGTATGAACACTAAGTACCCTAAGAAAAAATTGGTCAGTGCGGACAGGCTTTGTCAACGATGTGTGGTCAAAAGCTCGTGAAAAAGGACGGCAGTGGTGAGACACTTTGCTTGTAAAAATCCGAAGCAAATGTGCCTCAAAATAATTCAGGAAAGTAAAAAGGTCTAGGCGAAAAGAGCAATGAAGGGGAGAATTAAAATGAAAAAGCAACTGAGAGAGGATGGTGAAGGGTCGCACTCACCAGGTGTGTAGCCCCAGGGTTCGTAATAGGAAGGAAAAACACCTAGGTGACAACCACGCACAAATTCCTCGTAGTCCATCGGCAACAGTGGGTTGGTAGAGCTCAGGAATTCAGGATGGAAAATCACCTGAAGCATTGGGAAGGACAAAAAGAAAACTGTAGTGTGTGTTAGTAACGTCAAGGGCACTTCAACGTGGCTAAACGAATTCAAGAGGAATCGCATGCGACCATGAGACCACCGGCCATCTGAGCAATGTAAAAGTTTGAGACGAGAAGGTTGCAGAGTACGCATTGCAGTAAGGCTCTGAGATACAGTAGAGAAAAGTTCAGTACCGGTTAAAATTTTAGCAAAACGATCCAACTGTATCCGTGCATAAACCCACCCATCGGTAGTTCTGTACACATGAAAAAAAACATCAGCAGTACACGCCGTACCGACGCTTTGTTGCAACGCAATCACCATTAGTTGCGTGTGGGTTAAGGATAAGAGTGGGGTGGATGGAGGAAGAGGAGAGGTTGCCAAGCGATGACCAGGCCAAGAAGAATGAAGGCACTCACTTCGAAGCTGGCCTCACTTGCAGCTTCAAGGCTCCCTGGTTGGGGTCCAAAAGACGACGAACCCGACATGGCTGACATGGCTAAGAGCCGGCCTCAGTGGCATTTCTGATGTGAGTTTTTTTTGTCCCTCACCATCTCTTTTAGCCTCCCCTTTTAACAACGATCTCATCTCGCAGCATAATATAATTTTACATCATAACTTTTGTTGTTGCCTAGTAGCTGGCAGGTAAGTTCCCGGAACAATGCCCATCCGTTGCTGGTACCTCAGCTGGCATGCAACCGTTGCATTTATTTTCTATTTTCTTTTATGTATTGCGGCATAGTAGCTGAGGTGTTTTGCATCTCTAGCTAACATGTATAATGATGATGCCCCACGAACGGACTTGGCAACTTGCAGTTAAGTTAAATTGAAGGCCAGAGAGCAGAGGTTGCACTACCGGACGGCAGGGTGGTTAGCCGTCATTTGGATAATGTCCGCCGTCATTCCCATTCAACGGGCCAGACGACACATTGCCAAGCCACTCACAGTCTGTGT